ACTACATAAAATTGGTCTTAGACCTATCAAGTAAAAACTTCCAGTATTATTTCTTTAGTAGATGAGGAACAATTTATTGGTCGACATTTTTAACTTCCTTGAATAAAGCTAACAGTTGGTTACTTTCTCAACTCTAATTAGGTTGAGAAGTGTCTTAATTATTTTGAAATAATCCTACATGAGGTCGTATGTGTGTATAACTTAAAAATTTCTAAATAAAAGTGAACAGTTCCTTAATGCTAACTGGATTTCAACAGTAACATATCAAATGCAAATTCATGACTTGAAAAATGGTATCTAAATTAAAATTTAAATGAATTACTTACTTATGCCTGTTACCCCTCGTGGAGGAACATAGGCCGCACACCAGTATTCTCAATCCAACTCTGTCTTGGGAAATACTTTTCAGTTCTTTCCAATTAACATTCATTCTTTTCATATCTGCTTCTATTTCCCGGCAAAATGTACTCATTGACCTTCCTCTTTTCCGCTTCCCTTCAGGATTCCAAGTTAGGGCTTGCCTTGTAATACACATTGGTGATTCCCTTAATGTATGTCCTATCCACTTCCAACGTCTTTTTCTAATTTCCTCTTCAGCTGGAAGCTGGTTTGTCCTCTCCCACAGAAGGCTGTTGCTGATGGTATTGCTTATATGATCAATGATTGATACTACTGGTTTGTTAACTTTTTGTTATATTGTAGTGCCATGCTTCGCTAATCGTTCACTTCGATAACCGTTATAATACAAATCTTAACGGTGCATAAAATCAGAAGGCAAAGAGAAGCAGCAGCTACAGTTTTATTGACAAATGATGCAGGCCAGTAAGTTATAAGCGCATGATGTAATTATCAGCGAGCGAAACATAAATGACACGCATTGGAGGTGGCGGATAAGCCAGCTCACTTTAACCAAGCGTTAATCAATATAGTCACACAAGAATAAATGACTGACATGTGATAAATAGGATAAGAAGGGTACACACACCTACGCTCATATAAAAAATAATCGGCGTTAATAAGTGAAGTCTATCGGTTAAGTGCTCTGGTGCGAGACTGGTGGGTCGCGAGGTGGGATCGTGGATGCGAATTGCTGAAGAGTCCCATAATAGGATAAAACGGCCATCCAGTGCTTCCAGGTTTTCTATAGTGGTCTAGCTTCAATTAACTCATGATTTCAACTTTGAAAAATACTGAAATCTCCACAAAACACCTTCTGAATAAGTGAATAATTTACAAGGTGAAAACATGACTCATGATGGATAGGTGAAGTGACTTGTCCAGAAGTTAGAATAAGGCATATAAGCTTGATATATCAACAGACACTACAATATTCTAAAAACTTCTGGTCAATGGGACTAAATTAATAGCAACTAACTAAATAAATGAAAACTTCATTTACCTACCTGTATATACATCTAAACCCTAAATCAATTAACTTTACCTCTTAGCAATACAAGGATGGCGACTGAGAATGAATTAAAATTAAATTCTTATTCTCTCACCATTCATGTGAGGCTTTTAAGTAAAATATTCTGATTACTTTTTTTCCATTAATTCTAAATAGTCTTAATTTATTTGGTATTGTTTGTTTGAATTTTCCCATTTATGTTTTTAAGACTGCAATTGGTTAGTCTCTAATTGGCATATGTACATACTGTGCATATGCCTCCACATAGCCTAAATTCACAAGCATGGTGAGCAATGATAGATAGTGGCTACCAGTGAAATCCAGGACGCGCGTTTCGTCTTACTTGGGACTCGTCAGCTGGATGTGCCTGCATCTCAGAGTTGATGTTCACTTTGAGACTCTAAATAGTCTAGTTATTCATTAATGTAGTTAGATTTCATTGGATTATCGACTTATAGCATTGTCTCTATGTGGTCTCTGATCACTATCTTCTAGATATTTTGTGAATTTCATTCAATTTGAAAACGATTGATTTATTTCTAACATCCTTATTGTTGATTGAATTCTGTAGATCGATTCTCAGTGTGACTGGTAGTCTTAAAGACTCAAAATTGATTACATCATGTTGAGATATTATGTGACTGGAGGTAGCTGGAAATAGATTTTGTGATACGTGACATTTGTCAGTAAGAAATGCCTACAATATTGGTGAGACGAACATTCTCAATGGAGTTCGAATAGGAAATTCCTTTGACAACCTAAATTTTCAACATGGTGAAGACGGTATTGAGTGAATAAGAATAGTTACTACATCGGAAATCAGTCAGCAAGATGCAATATACAATAAAAATTAGACAAACATGATGCTGGTCATTACTCATTGATCAATCATTGGTGAACATCTTGACTCTATAATAAGTCCTCATCAGACCGGGTAGCCCAGAACTACAGTTCGATGAGCCGAAGCTGGGCTGTGTATGTTCGAGTCCCAAAGGAAAGGCTAGTCCGTTGGTGTTTGTGAGAACACCTTGTTCTCGAGTAGCAGTTAACATGAAGTCTAGGTCTATGATTTCCTGCCGACTAACGTCAACCAGCTGACATATACATATACATATATACATAATCTGTTGTGACTCAAGTCGTAAACATAAGAAATGATAAAACTAGAGTGGTTTACTGCTTCTCTCATTGTCTGTTTCCTTTTCATTCTTTCATGATTTAGACTGCTTTTGACATAAAAAACTATTATTCCACTTTGATTGTCCCATGAGGCTTAGAATAATGTTTAGATCATTCTGTTTTAATGATATTTTATAGAAAATTATTCCTATGAAATACCTTTCACACACTTAGTGCCAAGATCATATGAAATTATTTGCTTAAATCTGAAGAAAAGAACGGATAAACTATCTTCGTGTATAATCATCCGGAATATATGTATAAGTGTTACTAGTCGGTCAGTTAGTCAGTAATATGCAATACATAACCTGGCGTATATGGGCATTGATTCAAGTCCCCACACCACATTAACACACGGAGATAGGATTATCAAAGCAATTCACAAAGTAGGTATAAAAGCAACATCAGTAGTAGTTGAACGATTCGGTGCAGAAAAAATTTGAAGAGTATATCTCAAAAAGAACTGTTAGCAAAACCATTCAGATACACAAAAATTTAAAAATATTCTAGTGAACCTCGTAAAACCCTCAAAACAATTAAGCTACTTACTGCTACGTTCCATTATATTTATGCATATGCACATAAACTACTTTCAAGTAGTATAAGTGTCTGTAATAAAACAATCAGCCCCTGTTGATTAACGCATAAATTAATAGGAAATCGGTCAGCTGTAGGTCGCACATCCGATATAACAGTATTAGACCATTTTGCTTTTCGAATTCAACGGTTAACACATAATAACTCAAGTCACTTCCTAAAATTATCTGATGAGCTTAAAGTCATAGCTGTTATTCAATTCAGCTAAATTAAGTGGACAAATTTCCATCAACCAAGTCAACGACTACACTGATGAGAGTGAAAATCAACTTAAAGATTTTATAAAATCTAAGAAAAGTTACTTTTAATCAAATTCAGTGATTGTTAAATTCAAATGGAGATATATTTTAGGACAAGAATAATCGTCATTATTTAGACCGTAGTAACAGTTTATTCGTGGATTGGCAAAGCAACAGCAACATACTTACAACTGAAGAACATCTGGAGCTGAAAACAATTGTCAACCAACACCAAGGTTAGAATTTTCAATACAAATGTCAAGACAGTTCTACTGTATGGGGCGGAAACCTGGTGAACTGCGAAAACCATCATCCAGAAGATACAAGCGTTTATTAACAGTTGTCTACCCAATATACTTCGGATCCGGTGGCCAGACACTATCAGCAACAACCTACTGTGGGAGACAACAACCAGATTCCAGTGGAGGAAGAATTCAGAAACAAGCGATGGAAGTGGATAGGACACACATTAAGGAAATCACCCAATTGCGTCACAAGGCAAGTCCTCACATGGAATTCTGAAGGCCGAAGGAGAATAGGAAGACCAAAGAACACATTATGCCGAGAAACATGAGAAGAATGAACAAAAAATCGATAGAAGTAGAAAGGAAGGCCTAGGACAGAGTGGGTTGGAGAATGCTGGTCGGTGGCCTATGCTCCATAGCGGATAACAGATGTAAGTAAGTAAGTAACAGTTTATTTGTACAACTTGACAAGACAATATAATCATTAAGATTCTATAAATTATCATTAAAAATAAAACAGAAGTAATCTATTTACGTGTTTTTTTTTCATTTTCATTTTATTATCCTAAAAATATACATTCCATTAGGAGTATATACCATATAAAATGTGTCAAATTAAGAGTAATTGAAGGCAAATTTAAAATAGGTGTTATAACTTGTGATCAAGTGGATGCCCTGTTAACGTATGACGTGATAAAACCGTCAATTACAGAGCAGCGATTTATCGATTGGAACAGTGACACACGGAAAACCATACGAGTAGTCTGGAGTACGTATCGGTCCTGCTTCTGTTCAGCCCAGCCAGTTAAGTTCAGAACAGCCTCTGCGGTATGAATTATTATATTTCAAACATACTGAGTTTATATATCAAACAGACTAACCACATCGTATCAATAAAATAGAAAATATCATGTGTACAAGATACAACCAAATGTCGCTGTGAATAAGGGGAACAGTAATCAATAGATTGGGTGTAATTCAGAAATGGTAAATCGTATAAAAATAGTTTATAGCTCAAAAATAAAGCTCATGATAAGGGGGAAATATGAATATGAACAGTTTAGTTATTTAGCAATTATACGATAAAAAAATATATTCATAATATTGATCTATTAATGAATCCCAAAGTTACCCATTCACTATCTTTATCGGACCATAACAATAGGCAAGGAATAAATATAGTGTAAATAGAAAAAAAAACTAATAAAACATTTTTCCCATCATCAGTTAGTAAACTACAACAATTTTTGCTGATAGATTATTCATTCCAATACATTAAACTTATTATATTCTTGTGACCCTTTAATCCTAGTAAATATTCTATTTAACAAATTATTTCTTCTTTAAATTAATTGTTTCATAATTTACCTTATAATTAGAAAAATAGAAAGATGAGATAGTAAGCAAACAATTTGACATATTAAAGAAAAAATTACATTTGTCAAGGTCTTAGTGATAAAAAATTGAAAAGAAAATCAACATTTCACATGGCAGTGTATCAAGCTTTTCCATTGAAAAAGGACCTTTTAATATTTTCATAGTTGAAATCATGAGTCAATTGAAGCTAGACCACCAGGGATAACCTGGAAGCACTGGACGACCGTTTCGTTCTATTATGGGACTCCTCAGCAGTGAGCATTCAAAGTCACGTACTCTCGAGATTCGAACCAAGGACCTACCAGTCTCGAGCCAGAGCACTTAACCGATAGATTATTGAGCCGGTCGGCATTCAACGGTGTTAATGTCTAACTCCAACCAATCCACGAAATTTGACCAATTGTGATTGAACTCCTTTGATAACTGCTTCCCATTAGAACTCCAGGACATGTATCTTGAAGTCAGTCTTGAAGTCAATTATGAAAATACTGAAATCTTCACAAAACCCTATCTGAACTTTTAGTAGAAATTTGAATCACATATTGATAGGTAAATGATAATTAGAAATAAAACAACGATTGATGGCTTAATATATAACTTACAGTTGAGGTTATGTAAAAATATTTTAAAACAACTATTTGATAAATACCTTTCAAAATTATACTAATTTCTCAATGACAACTTAATCAGGATTCATATTTTCGTTTTTTTTGTTACTGCTCTATTTAACAAATAAGTGTATTGTTATTATTTAAGTTCCTTAGTCAAAATAATTCAAGTGAAAATTGAAGCTTGAAAATAATAAGTCTAAAAGAAATTTGACAATAATATTTTATTCTATCGGTTAAGCGCTTCGGCTCGAGACTGGTAGGTCCTGGGTTCGAACCTCGCGAGAGCGGGTTCGTAGATGCGCACTGCTGAAGAGTCGCATAATAGCACGAAACGGCCGTCCAGTGTTTCTAGGTTTTCCATGGTGGTCTAGCTTCAATTGACTCACGCTTTTAACTATGATAAATACTAAATCTCCACAAAACCCCTTCTGATAATTAATAATATTTTAGTAAATGATAACAAAATCGACATCATACACTTTTATCTTAAATGTTGCAGGGTTAATCAATGTCTTCAGTCCGTTGGGTGACTATTGATAGAATGTTATTTGAAAAGACTATACGTATGTATTTTTTTTCTTCGGTGTAAACTTTTTCCGCCATAGAACAAGGATTTGGCCTCAAAAAGATTATAAACCTATTTCACTCTCCATATGATACAAAATGTATACCTTTTACATTTCATGATCACTCTTTCAATGAAAATCTTGGACAAACAGCATTGCAAATATTCGATACAGTCTTTCTTCAACATAAAAACTCAACGAATTAACTATAGCTTTCAATAATAGATTTTAAGCCTTACAGGATATACTGAAATAATAAGAAACTTCTATGAAGGACAGGTGGAAATGGAACAAAGAAGCATTAACTTCAACGTGTTGGGAGATTCTGGACCGCATCGAGCATCATCACGTACAGTAGATCTCCATTGAGTCCATGGACAGGATTCAAGAAAGAAAGAACAAGAAGACAGCATTTAAAAACAGTCGAACCAGAATAAAGAAAGTCAACGCACAAACTGAATACATAGAAGCAAAGAAGCAAGCGAAGAAGTGTATTAGAGCTGAAAAGCAGAAATACGTAGAAGACCTAGCAACGACAGCAGAAAAAGCTACAACAGAAAGAAATATGAAACAACCATATGATACAACGAAGAAACTAGCAGGGATATATAGTAAACCGGAGAGACCAATCAAGAACAAAGAAGGAAAGACAGCCACGGACATTCGAGAACAGCGGAAAAGATGGGCAGAATACCTCGAGGAACTGCTGAATAGACCAGCCCCATTGAATCCACCGAACATCGAAGCAGCCCACACAGACCTTCCAATAGATGTCACTCCACAAATGATCGAAGAAATCAGCATGGTCATCAGACAAATCAAGAATAGTAAAGCAGCAACACCTGATAATATACCAGCTGAAGCACTGAAGTCAGACACAGAAGTAACTGCAAGTATGGTTCACCTTCTATTCAGGAAAATATGTGAGAAGGAACAAGTGCCGATGGACTGGAAAAAAGGAAACCTCATGAAAATAGCAAAGGAAGGAGATCTGAACAAATGTGAGGACTACAAAAGCATCACTTTGCCGTCAATACCATGAAAATTTTTCAACAGCATTGCTGAACCAGATGAAAAATTCAGTAGAAGCTCAACTTCAAGATCAACAGGCGCAGACCAAATCGCAACACTACAGATCATCGTTACACCATCAGTTAAGTGGAACTCTTCACTATGCATCAGCTCAGGATGATTTTGATGAAGTTTTGTTCTCTGAGCTAGATGGTTTGGTTGTGGAGCCTTCTTCGTCCTTCTGAAGAACATCAAGTCAGTCAACAATAAACAAGCACATTGAAATCAATTCAATTTATCAATCAATCAGGAAAATTATGCAGAAACATAGGAACGAAAATTAAACCAATGGGAGACACAACCAAAACAAAGAAATAAACAATGACAGATTTAAGGTCAATAAGAACCAATGAACATTGAGGTGTACAGGACAAACTGTAATTCACATGTGGAGAAATTCAAACACTTCACTTCTATCCGAAGTTTATGCTGATGATATCGTTCAGAAGGACAATGAAAGCTCCATGACCAAACCATCCAGCTCGGAGAACAAAACTTCACCAAAAACTATCAGAGTTCACTGAGATCACCAACCAAACTAAGTCAGAAAACTATTGAAAATTTGAAAGCACTAAACAACTGTGTTGTTCCCCTTACTGATAATCCTCATGTGCTCAAGAGTGAGGAGTTTCTAATTTCTAATTAGAAGCCTTGACCAGTAGAATTCAACGATATTGGGTATGAGACAAACATCCACCACAGGCAATAGAAAACGGTTGAGCAACAACGTGAATTGAATGAAGTTAGACATTGACAACGTAGCTCAGAGAATAAAACTCCATCAAAATATATATTAGTTCTCATTCTCAAGTGAGATACATCTGTTAATAAATTGTAAAAGATTATTTAATCAATTGATTTCGTAATATTCATAAATGTAAAAGCTAACACCATTGAATGCCGGCCAGCTCAGTGGTCTATCGATCCTAGGTTCGAATCTCGCGACGTGAGATCGTGAATGTGCACTGCTGAAGAGTCCCATAATTGGATAAAACGTCCGTCCAGTGCTTCCAGGTGGTCTAGCTTCAATTGGTTAATATTTTCGAATAATCAATAATATTGGTATTTATTATTATTATTACTACTAATACTACTATTATTAGTAGTAGTGGTGATAGTGTTGTCCTGGGTTCGAATCTCGCGACTTGAGATCTTGGATGTGCACTACTGAGGAGTCCCACAATAAGAAGAGACGGTCATCTACTACTTCCAGGTTTTCTGTGGTGGTCTAACTTCAATTGAATCATGATCTCAACCATATTAAATGATTAGAATCTTCACAAAATCCTCTTCTGATAAAAGTTAATTATTAACTTACAATAATATTTGGTAATTGAATACAATTTAAATTTATATTTTTTTCATTTTCTTGTATCCAATTATTATTTAATTGTAGTTTTGTTGTTGTCAACATAGATTGTACTATATCAGTTGAAATCAATTTTATATTTATTGAAGGACTTGAATTAGATCGTTTTTTATTCAATATTTCAATGGATTTATCATAATTTAAATGATCATTATTTATAATTGTATCTAAGTTATTTATTGTTTCATTACATAGTTGATAATTTAAATGAAGATTAGTATAAGTATCTTTTAAAGATTCAATATTATTTTTATTATGATAATTAAATTGACCTCTTTTTAAATGATGAATTTGTTTTAATAAATAATATTTAAATTGATTAATATCATAAGTGGATTGATATAAATATTGTTTGGTTAATAATTTTGAATAATCAATAATATTAGTACTTTTATTATTATTACTACTACTAATATTACTATTATTAGTAGTACTAGTAGTACTAGTAGTAGTAGTAGTAGTAGTAGTAGTAGTAGTAGCAGTGGTAGTAATATTGTTGCCATGTATCATCCTTATTTGTGTTCTTTGATGTTTGATAGGTGAAATATTTTGTTTAATTGAATGATTTAATAAATTATTATGATTATTAGATAATAATTGTAGATTGTTCAATTGTTCATGTTCTTTTTGTTTTAATGCTTTTGTAACTGCAAATGCTGATTTAGGGCGTTTTATAACACTTAGTATAGATTAAAAAGAAGAAAAAAGCAAAATTTATATATCAGAAGGGGTTTTGTGAAGATTTCAGTATTTTCATGGTTAAAATCATAAGTCAATTGAAGCTAGACTACCATGGAAAACCTGGAAGCACTGGACGGAAGTTTCGTCCCATTATGGGACTCCTCAGCAGTGCGCATTTATATATGATAAGATATAGTTATATAAATATTATTAGATCAAATTAACAAAATTATACTAATGGATTACGTCTGGGTAAAGGAATCTCCAGGACAGAACTCTATGGAGAATCCTATTGAGTGACCTACACTCCTCCATAAAGGTAGTAACAGGCTGATGTGAACCGCGAAACAAGAAGTCTGAACAAACTACGGAAGCTATTTTTGGGGACGTTATTTCATTTAATTCAAAAGCTTGTAAAACTGTAACTTTTGCTTTTGCCCCTAGTCTATTCTACAGATCATGAGCTTTCGTTTGATGTATGATTCACTGACATAGCATTTTCTGTTTCAAAGCTATTGTAATTTAGACGTAACCTTTTGTACTCTATTTTCTACTCTAATCCCCCGTTTTGGACATAATTGTATTTTCCTAATTATTGTATGTTGTGGTCAGGTTATTCATTTATTTATTCATGTATCTTTTGACACTAATCTGAGTTCGGAATTCGGGTACCAGATCGGATTTGGAATAAAGCGAGTAGTGTTCCAGTTGTCTTGTCTTCTCCTTCTCTCGCGTACTTGTCAGCCAATCAGGGATAGAATAATTTTCGTTTCTTTACCCCCGCTTGGAATTCACGCATACTAGCCTCAAGGTTAAGCTAGTCAGCCTATCGCGTCAAGGTCTTAATCTACATTAGACAAGTTACACTCGGCACGAAAGTGGATAGACAGATTCAAGGACGTAACACAGGCTTAAGTAAATAACCATCCAAAAAGTAATATATAGTTATGTTATTCTTGGTCAGCACAAAGTTGTCAAATAGATTTCGGGTCAAATGAAAAATGTACTAATTTAATTTTTATATGATGAATAATACAATTCAATTATCAAATCTGAATATGCTTAGCAAGTTTCATGTTATGCATTTTGTTTATAAACTAATAATATAATCCGAATACCCGAGAAAAAAAGTTTAAACCAAGAACTGATCTAACATTTTAATGTGTATACACGTAAATTAAAACGAATTTTTTTTATAGATCTACTTAAGATACTTAATACGAAAGTTGGATTATTCCTACCAGACTTTCCTTTCATTTACACCTAACATTGATACCATTCCTTTTGAGATTGGCCCTCTTAATATATATATCAAACTACTATCATTTCAAAATCCATGAAAATAGCAAACATAACATTGTAAGCAAAGATAGATAGTGGCTAGTAGTGGAATCCAGAACGCGTGTTTCGTCCTATTTGGGATGGGAAGATTCAAACAAACAATACTAAATGAATTTAAACTTCACCCCATCGCACAAGCAGGTGGCTATCAGGACTCAGTGGCCGAGTGGATAGTGTGATGGCGTTTGTAGCGAAATGTACTGGGTTCGAGTCCCACAGTGAACATCAACTCTCAGATGCAGGCACATCCAGTTGACGAGTCACAAATAGGACGAAACGCGTGTCAAACTGGATTCCACTGCTAGCCACTATCCATCTCTGCTTACCATGCTTGTGAATTAAGGCTATATCGAGGCAATACGCACAGTATGCACATATGCCAATTAGAGACTGATCAGTTGCAGTCCTCAACATCAATGGGAAGATTCAAACAAACAATACTAAATGAAGCAAATATAACAGTTTAACCTCACGTGGTATTGTTTACTTGAATCTTTGCATTGATGTTCAGAACTGCAATTGGTCAGTCTCATGTTGGCATATATGAATCCTGTGCAGATTGCCTCAATATTGCCTTAAATCACAAACATTACAAGCAAAGATGGATGATGACTAACAGTGGAATCCGAGACACGCGTCTCATCATACAGGGTCCGAATCCCAGAGTGGACATCAACTTCGAGATGCAGATACGTCCGATCGGCGAATTCCAAAATGAATGAAATGCGTTTCCTGTATTTCACTGCTAGCCACCATCTATCTCTGTTTATAATATTTTAATATTGTTAATAGCTAGTAAGAAAATTCCTTTGATATTCATCATTAAAATCAATATCTTTTATGTTAGAAATATTACCTAAAATCTACTGCCCGATATATTTCTTAAAATACACAATTTATTTATTATTTATTTATTTAAACACATAAATATTGGTAGAAAAGGGGAACCAGAAATATATGTGCTACACAAATCTCATTCGATTTGTGTGAGGGCCTGGATACTACCCGGGCGCCCAGAATGAAGCAGGTGGTTTTATCAGGAGGCCACACCCCGAGCCTTTGATCTAAAGATCTAATCCACAAGGCAGTGGAACATCGTGAGGAGATGCAGTCCCATGGTAACCGGTGACCAACGATTGATTTCTACACCATTTGTTCCCTCAGGATACTGGAGTCCATGTGTACTAATGGTTTGGAATCAGGGTTTTCCAACTCCTCTAGGTGGACGCGCCGTGTCCACCAACCCGGTTAAAGCGCCAGACATTCTCTTTTCGTCCTCTCAATTTCGTAAACAACAGTAAAACCACGAGAAGGTAGTGAATAGGACTTCCCTGACAGAGGCTATATATTCGCGTGGCCATGTGAGAGCATTTGGAGAGGGAGAGCGGACTCTCCCCACTCTCGGTCATACCAGGGCATTTGGGGGCAAAAATTAATTCACTAGAAATCTTGTAAACAATGTAGAGTTTAAGTTGAACATACCAATCAAGAAATTACTCATCTTAACTGTTAACAATATTTTTATACTAAAAGTCAATCAAAAAGAAATCAAATCAAACCTGTGCTTCACAGCATATGTTCCCGGTATCGGTGGTGATATTAAAAATTCAAATTCAAAAGATTTCTTTTTATCATTTCGTAATGAGTGATTGGACCGATTAGAATTTGATTGAATCGATGATGCTGATGATATTCTACTTATTTCACTTGATTTTGAATGTTCACTTAAAGATCGACAAGCTGAAATGTTTGTACAGAAACATATACAAAGGAATAAATGAAAATTCGAACTGGTAAAATGATTTATTCATAACGTTAATATACATAATCAAAGATTGTGTAGCTTATTCATAATTTGATTTATCAGTGATCCTTTTATTAACAGCCCGAATGCATTTCAGTAAATAAAATTTAAAAGACATGTTCCCACTTATCACAGGCATCATACGGTATCCAAAATAAAAAAACTGGACATTAATTTTGGATTACTACTCACTATTTAAATAATATGATAGAATTCCATTTTAATTTAGTTCATTGTTATACTAAATGTCAGTTGTTGAGGAAAGTTGCCCAAGAAATTAGTTTCTAGTGTTTAGAACAACTCCATTTGTTAATTACATGGTAGTATTTTCTCAATCACACTTTAAGAGTTTCCTACTATCAAGCAAAATATTTTTACTTCCATCTATGTAATCAGATTGATTTTAACTCTATTAGAATGTAACAGTAAAATAATAATGTTCCTTTTTAAAAAAAAAACTGAACTTAAGTTTTAAAATTAATGACATTCTTCAACAAACCATATCTGAAATGCTGAAGTGAATGATAACACCCTTGGAATTCGAGTCACAATCATTCATCTTTACGATTAGAGATGCTGGTGACAATATATTAGGAGTTTAAATTCAACTTAGTATTGTTTGTTTGAATCTTGCCATCGATGTGTTAGGACTGCAAGTGGCTATCAGGACTCAGTGGCCGAGTGGATAACGCAATGGCGTTTAAAGCGAGAGGTACTGGGTTCGAGTCCCGCAGTGAACATCAACTCTGAGATGCATATATATCCAGCTGACGAGTCCCTAATTGGACGAAACGCTCGTCCTGGATTTCACTGCTAGCCACTATCCATCTTTGCTTACCATATTAAGAGTTTGTTTAGTAGAATTCGAACTCTTCAATAACCAAATAAGCTTATCGTTAGTTTGAGTGTAGAGTCAAGATGAAAAAAATGAATAGTGACTGCTAATAACAATCATATTGGATCGTGATAACTACTTCCGGCACTTATCATCATTAGAAGATATTTTCTCGAAGCTTGTACACATGACCTTCACTCCAAGCACTTATATCGTCTGATGATGTAGGAATTAATAGTAAGTACATTTATTAAAGCAAAACTTTAAAGCGTACTTTCAAATTCTATAATCTTATTACGGTTTTTCTGATTTAAGTTAAACTACCATGATTTAAATATTCAGTTTACTTGGGTTTAGTTAGAAAAGAACACAAACATATACGGTTTTGTCAATGGTCACTCATCTACATAATCTATTCAATACTAATACTAAAAATTTGTTTCATCATGAATCATCTTATAATCGAAAAGATAATTTCTGAATAGTTTATCTTGTCACTAATATAAAGTATGAGAGGATGAATTAAGGTAACACATTTTAAACAATCTGGTTAGCGTTTTTTTAGCGAGTTGGTTTTCTACGGGATGGAGTCGTCAACCCCATGCCCATTGGGAGTAACAGGCGTAAGTAAGTAATTTTAAACAAACTAACCAAAGCAGAGATGAATAGTGGCCAGTAGTGGAATCCAGGACGCGCGTTTGAAGCGAGGGTACTGGGTTCGAGTCCCACAGTGAACATCAACTCTCAGATGCAGGCACATCCAATTGACGAGTCACGAATAGGACGAAACGCGTGTCAAACTGGATTCCACTGTTAGTCACTATCCATCTTTGCTTACCATGCTTGTGAATTAAGGCTATATCGAGGCAATACGCACAGTATGCACTTATGCCAATTAGAGACTGACCAGTTGCAGTCTTAACACATCAATGGGAAGATTCAAACAAACAAAACTAAATGAATCTAACCAAAGTTTTAAGATAAATTTCCAGGGTTTTTAATAGTTTTAATAGCAGAAATTACTTTTACGGCAGCACATACAACAGTAATCAAAATGAACTTACATAAACAATTGAAATAACTAGCTGAAAGGAATTTAGAAATTGGTGTCATCTAATGCTAACTTGTAGATTTAAAAGTTATGAGCTTACTACAAGATTTGAATGTCTTGAGTTTAAACCATTATGGGTTCTTCGGTGTATACAACTAAGTGAAACAAATATCTAGTGTCCTTCAAGTTTCCAGTGTTTGTTCATATAAAGTTAGTTCATGGTATGAACTGTTTAGCGTTTTTTTACCAGGTGGTTTTCGGCGAGATAGGTTTGCTATTCCCATCCCCAGCCCTCCTTCTTTATCCAGGCTTGAGACTGACAATAACCCTAGAAGGGCTACAGGCACAGTTGATTGGAGAATCCTATCAGGCGGCCTATGCTCCACGAGGAGTAAAAGGCGTGAGTAAGTAAGTCATGGTATATATTATCGTCATTGTGAACTACCTAGAAACTGAAAAATACTAAGTATTTGACTTGTCATAATACCTGTAATTCAACAATGAGAGTCAAGTTGTTTTTGTTATTTATCTCAGATTAGAATGAAAAAAAAATTACTCGTAAGCAAAACTGCATAGACTGTAAGAAAAAAAATGCTTTTGTACAAACCTGATCTATGCCTTACACCTATCATATTTGATCGTTTAAAAAATCTTGGATCTGCTGAATTCATTAAACATGATCTAATATATCTTGATTCAGCATAACTAGGTTTAGAATGTAATGAATTAATATTCTGTTGATTTGATTTATTCCTCATTGATTTAAGCCAAAATTCTTCTGCTTTATCTTCAACTGATTCATGATATTCCCATTTTATAGTATCAAAATTTAAAGCTAATATATTATGTTGTGTATTAACAATTAATCTATAATAAAGAAAATTAAATTATATTGAAACAGCAAAACATGGTAAATAATCTACTGATAATTGAATAACAATTCAAAGTGCTCTGGCTAGAGACTGGTAGGTCCTGGGTTCGGATCTCGCAAGTGCTGGATCGTGGATGCGCACTACTGAGGAGTCTCATAATAAAACGAAACGGCCATCCAGTGCTTCCCACGTATTTCATGGTGGTCTAGCTTCAATTGACTCATGATTTAAACTATGAAAAATTCAAATATAATTCATTTTTATATTGGTTGTTTGAATCTTTGCACTGATGTTCAGGAGTGCAATTGGTCAGTCTCTCATTGACATATGTGCATACTGTACGGATTGCCTCAATATTGCCTTAAATCACAAGTATTATAAGCACAGATGGATGATGACTAGCAATGGAATCCAGGACACGTGTCTCGTCATAAATGGTCTGAATCCCGGAGTGAACATCAGCTTCGAGATGCAGATACGTCCGATTGGTGAGTTTCAAAATGTATGAACGCGTTCGCTGTATTCCACTGCTAGCCACCATCCATTTCTGATTAAAATTCAAAGACAAGTTTGTTTAAGTAATTGAAAGTCATGTACATGTTAATCTTTATGTTATGCCATTATGTTTTGAGTGATTATAAAGCTGAAAAAAATGTTTACTTAAGGCTTCTTACATGAGAGAGAATTCAATCGCCCAGTATCCTACAGCATCGATATTCGCTAATTCATTCATTAAATGATTAATATGAATATTCAACGATGTAATCCTTAAGTAAAACTGCTGGATTGTTTGACAAGATTATGTACTAACATGAGCAAAAGTAGAATATGTATTCTATGCACCTATAAACCACATTTTAAGAGTGATAATTACTGAAAAACAAAGAAGACTTAAGAGATCGCATGATGCTGCTATCAAAAAGCTAAACCTTATCATTTGACTAATGACTGCCTTTGTGTCCAGAGAAATCGTTATGACTTATAACTGACAACATCTGGGTGATTAAGTTCATTTTATGTTTTTAGTGGAATTTCATAAAAATGAATAATTATACATGGTTATAACAGGTGGTGTCCGAAATCTAATACTTATACTCGATATGCTACACGATAACTTCCTAACTGACTACTTGAGCGAGAACACAAGAGTGACCGAGAAGGCTTGTTGGGCTACAGAATGAAACATACTAATACTCATTCATATATATAGTACTCTATCCTTAGGAAATTGACCCATTGACCCCAATGAAATGTACTTGACATTTAGGTCACTTCCGACCGCCATCGATTGACCTTCTCATTAGGCTACTAATGGCCAACTTTCCACATCACACATCAGTGTGTTTTCAATTAATGTACAATCTACGCGTAATCCATTTCATTTTTTGATATTCTACTTAATCTGTACTATTTTAAAGTTCTTCATCATGGATTAATGCCATATTATGGTAAATTTCATAAACGTTCCAGTGAATTACTGATTTCAAATAATCTACCAAATTGAATATGTTTTCATTATTAGTAAAAAGCAGAATTATAGTCTATATAGAATTCTATGTCTATAGTTAATCCCTATAACATAACGATCAAAGATTATGATAATATTAACTGTTAAGCTCTAAATATCCTTGTCAACAATATCTATATGGGAAACTAACGTAATGAAAACTTAATAAGATAGTCCTAGTTGGAGTTGTTTCTTCAAAAGTACATTATTTATTGTGTTTAAAAAACATCTAGATTCCAGTGGAGGAAGAAATCAACAAGAAGCGCTGGAAGTGGATAGGACACACATTGAGGAAATCACCCAATTTCGTCACAAGGCAAGTCCTCACATGGAATTCTGAAGGCCGAAGGAGAATAGGAAGACCAAAGAACACATTACGTCGAGAAACATGAGAAGAATGAACAAAAAATGGATAGAACTAGAAATGAAGGTGCAGGACAGAGTGGGTTGTAGAATGCTGGTCGGCGGCCTATGCTCCATTGGGAGTAGCAGGCGAAAGTAAGTAAGTAATCGTTTTGTATCAATGTAAGAACTTGCACTGTACATGAAAGATTCAATAAATGTTAACATAAACTAAAAAACAGCATACCGATTTTCCAATGGCATAATGCTTATAATTGGATCATGACGATAATTTCCCGGTAAGATTCTTTGACAATGTTGAGTTAACAAATTCCACACACGTATACGACCATCTGAACAACCAGTTATAATTCTTAAATCAATCAATTCAACACATAACACTTCACTAGATAAAAGAGCAAAGTTATTAATGTTCACTTAGGACAATGATTAACAATTTATTCCATAATGCATCAATTGACAGTGTACTCTAATTTTCTTTACTCTTTGAATTCCCTTTATCAATATGCATATCGTAATTAGCAAACTATTTAAGTGTGAATTTCGTATTGAATAATTAAAAAATTTCTTGCTAATCAGCCACTGATTAGTAAAATGTGGTTGAAATATTTCATGTAACACATATTTCCAAGTGATTGAATACAGTGATCCTGAGTGTTGTTAGAGGTATGAGGGCAGTTATCACTTCCCGATTGCCCACACCGTGGAAGGGTATTTCTTGAGGGACTTGAAAAGGATATTGGGTTAGAGGTGGTCATAATGACCCGCCCAAGGGACAATTGCCTGAGGCTGGTCATACACGACCTTTTTGTGGGAAATTTTTTTGTTAGCTCCGTACTTGTTGGGACCTTACCGCCGGAGACGGATATCCGTGGGATAAGGCGAGGTGTGCATTTTTAGGGTCGACCTTTTCTAACCTCACCACTCCTTGTGGGAGGGCAGCATCGCTGTTATGCTGGTTGTCTGAAGGAAACATCTTACTTCCGCCACACCTCTGTACGGTCAGCAGTACGACTTCACCGTCGGACCTTGGGTTTGCTGCTTTTAGTCTTACCGCTCTTCAACCTACCTGTCTGGCATGGTAGGACCTTGAAGAACGACTGTTCCAGCCAGCATAGCTAGATTGATTCATAACGATAGGCAAGCCCGACCACCACATGAAGGTAGCAGCAACGGTCGGGACACATATTTCCAGGTAAATCAGTATTGACACCTTAGACTATGATAATAGACAACGTAAATTCAAACCATACAGTAAAATATGGTTTTCCTTTAGATCACAAATACATACTTTGTTGAAAAGGTTAATCAACATGAAACTTATACATTATATGTCACTTAAAAATCAACTGAGTTAATCTAAAACAAACCTTTAATTAAATTTCAAAAGTAATGTTTCATTATAAACTCCCTCCAAGAATTGAATATCGTGGTTTCTATCAAAATTCTAATCCCGGATGAATCAGTTGTCAAGTTCTTCATGACTTTCGAAAATTTTCAACTTAATCTTATTTCGTAATGACATCTACCAATACGCTGTTGAACTAAGTTATTATCTGTTACCAATTTTTTATGTAATGAATCTACACCTTACTAGCTATTATTGAATGCGACTGATATCATGTACCAATCTAAGTTAGACATCCATTGAAAACCAAGTAGGACGTCTTAACAGTACTCATTCACAATTCCACCACTCGAGGTCGAACCCATTACCTTTAGTCTCATGCACCAATGCCCAATACTTACTCGACACGCTTTAACTTCACTGGGCACAGCTTCTTATTAGATATCATGAGTCAACATGATTTTCAATGGATGTCTAACTGAATTTTGTTTGGGATATCAATAGCATTCATTCCTTTTAATAGAAAGAAAGGAACTTGATTCGATCACAGTGAAGAATTAGAAAACTTAAATTAAAAAAACACCTTAATTGTTACAATCCACTTACCCAGTATGCACCAATGTTCCTATACACTCAGAGAATTCTCCAATTATAGACCATATTTTCACAGATTTATCTTTAGACGATGTGACTAAATGATAATTGTCAAACCGTAACGCTGTTATAACATCAGTATGACCAGTTAATACCTGTTATAATAATGATGTTAACAAAACAGTATTTCATTGTGTATCATAAAAAAAGGATTTTCATTATCGTTTTTTTGCTTATTATTCAATTTCTTAACACGTTACTCTTTCAGTACAATACATGTAGATCAACCTAGAATATTATTCTAATGTTTTCAAATTCGAATTCACGAGTCGGTCTGAGCTAGACAACCATTCAAAACCTGAAAGCACTGGAAAGCCATTTCATCTTAGTATGGTACTCCTCAGCGGTGCGCATCCATGATCCCACACGTGAAACTTGAACCTAGGACCTTCGGTTCCGCGCGCGAACGCTTAAACCTCTAGACCACTGAGCCAATATCTCACAGTGTTAATGATTAAATTCAATCGATCCATGATCTTTCCCAACCCTTAATCCATTATCTGATGTGGACAACTCTCTCACTTTTTTTGGGGGGGGTTATCTCTTCATATAAAATGTAGATTTGACTAGTTTAAATCAGTGTAATTGTTTGGTAGTGAAAGTAAAGTATGATTAGTCGTTGAGTGTGAACAAATAACCACTTAGCCTACTGACTATTAAATATGATTTCCTTCCCTCTCATTGATTTCTACCCCGGACCAACTGAATGTAACTGCTTGTAATCGTATTGAATAAGGTATTGTCTAGTATTAATCTGATTCTTTGTTTTGGGTCGTGATTCCTAGTCTTGATATCACGTGATTAGTCTTATTAACGAATTAACGTAATATCGAAGTAAGAGTGAGAAAAATATTTCAAACCATCCGTTATATCAGTGATTATTTGTGGTTAATTTCCTGGTTTACAATGTAAAACTTTACTTACAACCTTTAGTATAATTATTTATGTATTAAGTTAATTATCGTGGTATTATTAACTGGAGAACCAGTTAAAATTAGACGGTACTTTGGTATGAAAATAATGAATAAAACCAAAGTAATGTATTCATTAAATTCACTTGATATTGTTTACTTGAATATTCCCACTGATATTTATGACTGCAATTGACATATGTGCATACTGTATGGATTGCCTCGATATAACCTTAATTTGCAAGCCTTATAGGCAAAGATGGATAGTGGTTAGTAATGGAATCCAGGACGTGCGTTTCATCCTATTTATGACTCGTTAGCTGGATATACCTGCATCTCAGAGTTGGTGTTCACTCTGGGACTCGAACCTAGAATAATTCGCTTCAAGCACCATCGCATTATCCACTAAACTACTGAGTCCCGATAGCTACTTGCAGGTACATCCAGATGACTAGTCCCAAATAGTACGGAACGCGCGTCTTAGATTCCACTGCTAGCCACTATCCATCTTTACTTATAATGAACTCATCTTTTATTCCATCATTATAGTTTCAACAATAGAATATCATTATTGTTACAGTTTATATAGTAATCAGTTATATTTTCGAAAGCTAATGACTAACTAATATTATATGATTGCAAACATTCATGATTTTAAATAATATTAACCTTTATTAAAATTGGTTTTTTATTGCCAATTCTCCATACATTTATACGTCCACTATGTTCACCAGTTGTACAGATGTATCCTCTTAAGCCTACTGATGTGATTGGAGTTGAATGTTTCATAATCCATAATGGTTTATGTTCATCTAATCTCCAAACTTAAAAATAAAATATTTCACAAGTATAAGGAATAATTCAATTAACAAAAATATACTTAAGTAGTATATCAAATCATTATTATTTATTTATCTAAACATATAAATATTGGTACCAAGGGGAACCAGATATATATGCGCCACACAAATCTCATTTGATTTGTGTGAGGGGCTGGATACTAACTGGCTGCCCAGAATGAAGCAGGTGGTTTTCTTAGAGAGCCACACCCCGAGCCTTTGATCTAAAGATCTGATCCACAAGGCAGTGGAGCATCGTGAGGAGTCCCATGGTATCCGTTGACCAACGATTGATTCATACGCCATTTGTTCCCTCAGGATACTGGGGCTAAGCCATGTGTACCATTGGTTTGGAATGAGAGTTTTCCAACTCCCCTAAATGGACCCTCCGTGTCCATCAACCCGGTTAGAGCGCCGGATATTCGCTTTCCATTCACTCACTTTCGTGAACAACACCCCCGCCACGAGAAGGCAGTGAGTAGGACTTCCCTAGCAGAGGCTGTATACGCGTGGTCATGTGATAGCATTTCGAGAGGGAGAGCGGACTCTCCCCACTCGTACCAGGGCGTCTGGGGGCATATCAAATCAAATCAATCAATCAATCAATGGATTATTATTAAAATAATACTGAATAAAAGTACAATATTTTATGCCGGAAGATGACTATGCGCGATAACAAAATGATGCTTTTCTACTTTGAAGAAATCTAAATACCTGGAAAAAAATTTAACTGAACTAAATCATCTTTGACCTTTAAAATATTGTACTATAAGAGTAAACATTAAAAGGTATTTTATCCCGTCAATCGTTAGATGAAAATCATTATTGCTAATTATCAGCAAAGATGGATGGTAGTTAGCAGTATAATCCAGAATGCGTGTTTCGTCCTATTTCTGCATTCAAGAGGTAATATTTATTCCAGGACTATTATTCAACATAAAATCAGTTTTCGATGTTCAATTAATTGGCATCTGCTCATCTTTACCACCTCACTTATATCAAGCTGTATATGTTTTTCCGTGATTTCTGATCAGCAAACTTGTGTTTTGTCTACTTACATGAAACCTAATAATATCAGTCGATCAATTCAAACTAACTTTTGTGATAAATCTGAAACTTGAACGTTCAGTGACAACTTCCTAGTCGTTTCCCAGTTATTTATTCACCTGTGGACCATCACATCGACTACTCACTAAAAATTTCTACCCTATCTTGTTCAATGACAGAAACATGAAGCTCAAACAACAAGTGAAAATAACAACTTCAATAATGTAAGAAGACCTTGTTTATGAACTTTGAGTTTATAGGTGGTACTGTAGTGAATAAGAACACGGGTGGGGACAATCGAATGTATAGGGGCATAAATTACAGAATATCTCAATAAATTCTGATAACCATAGAGTAAACATGGTTAGCAGAGATGGATAGTGGCTAGCAGTGGAATCCAGGACGCGCGTTTCGTCCTATTTGGATAACGCAATGACGTTTGAAGCGAGGGTACTGGGTTCGAGTCCCAGAGTGAACATCAACTCTCAGATGCAGGTACATCCAGCTGACGAGTCCCAAATAGGACGAAACGCGCGTCCTGGATTCCACTGCTAGCCACTATCCATCTCTGCTAACCATGCTTGTGAATTAAGGTATATCGAGGCAATACGCACAGTATGCACATATGCCAATTAGAGACTGACCAGTTGCAGTCCTAACAAATCGATGGGAAGATTCAAACAAACAATACTAAGTTGAATTCATAGAGTAAACAGTTAATTTGCAAAATAACAATCAATTGTCTCAATCTTAACTGTTCCTTCTGCAAATATCAGTCCGTATTCTCTGATTTCATTGTTCATGCATTTTCGTACTGATTGCGCTTCATTCCTTTTCTTTCCTGATCGATCATCTGTCAAAATACATTCTATGTCTGACCATCACCATATACTACTTATATGGATATAAGTAGGCCGCACCACAGTACCATAGCAAATATTCAAAACCCATTAATGAAATCACTAAAAAAAAACTATTTACTCTCCAAAGCATTATCTTGTATATTTGTTCAATGGTGGATGTAAAACGACAAACACTTCGTTAACTTTGGTCATGAAGAAGCAGCTTTTAAAATCATCTATTTAGTTAAATAATCTGACTTAAAGAGAATACCTATCCGAAATCATTTTTTTAAGATTGATTTAAGATTTATGCTGAGGAGTCTTACAATAAGACGAAACGGCCATCCAGTACTTCCAGGTTTTCCCTGGTAGTATAGGTTCAATTGACTCATGATCTCAACTATATATAAAATTTATTTTTATACTTTTAAACTCTTATGAAAGAATAAACAAATATATAGTGAAATCGTGAGTTAATTGAAGCTAGATCACCATGGAAAACCTGGAAGCACTGGATGGCCATTTCGCGAAGTGCTTCCAGATTTTCCATGGTAGTCTAACTTCAATTGACTTACGCTTTCAACTATGAAAATACTAAATCTCCATGAAAAAAAACCCTTCTGATAAAAAATATATAATGGTATTATTCAAAGATTTATTAATTGTATATATATAAATGAATTCAACTTACTACAACATGTACAATCAACTGAACCACTTGCAAATAAATAGGTAGCTTTAAATTCATCTTTGTTCACATCACTACTTATATTATTATTTCTGTTATGTGAATAATGATAAGATGAATGTGGTCGGTTTTCAGTTGTGATATTATATTTTGGCCATAATTTCGTTTGATCTAACCAAATACAAAGTACAGTATCTGTATGACCATGAAATATTCGAATACATTTGGATCGACTATTTCTAAAACTTAATTTATTTGTTGATTGATTTAAACAATGTTGATGATTATTATCAGATAGATTCCATAAACGTATACTTGTATCATAACTACTAGACAATAAAATTTGAAGTTTAACATCTAACCATAATGTTTTTATACTTCCAGCATGTCCAATTAACCAAACACGATTTAAATGTGCCCTATATTCAATAGAAATAATAAGATTGATTGCATAGTTTTAAAGAAGATAAAATTGAGTAGTTGAAAACGTGAGTCAATTGAAGCTAGACCACCAGGGAAAACCTGGAAGCATTGGACGGCCGTTTCGTCCTGTTGCAGGACTCCTAAGCAGTGCGCATCCACGATCCCGCACTCGCAAGATTCGAACCCAGGGCCTAGCAGTCTCGCGTAAGAGCACTTAACCGATAGACTAGTGAGCCGGCATCCAACGGTGTTAATGTCTAACTTCAACTGATCCACGAAATTTGAACAACCATTCACCAATTTTCTTCAGTGAGTTGATCGTGGACGCGCACTGCTGGGGAGTCTCATAATAGGACGAAACGGCCGTTCAGTGCTTCCAGGTTTTCTCTGGTAGTCTAGCTTCAATTGACTCACGCTTTCAACTATGAAAATACTGAAATCTCCACAAAACCACTTCTGATAATAAAATTGAATGTTTGTTAATTTGAAATTAACAAATTACTAGTTACTTACATAAATTCAGAAGTACTATCCAATTGATTAATATTATGATTTCGTTTGTGGATACCGGTAAATGTTTCTTTTTCACGAAATGATTTCATAGCAATATCTATAAATTTAATTGTACGTTGTTGAGATCTCCCTTCACAATGAGCTAACCAATGACTTCTTTTATCTACATGTATTACACGTCGTTTGCATAATGGTTGATTTGGTTGTCTATAATAATTAAACTTTCGAATTAGTGTAACAAAAGTAAGTTGTTTTAGTAAAACATGAAATAAAAATAGTATCTTATTTTATTCCTACAAGGATATTATAGTATATATATAATCTAATAAACAGACATGTACCAATAAAGAGTGTTGCTCCGGTTGTCAGAAGGTGCATCGGCCTCGTGACTTCTGAAGGAACTCGGCTTTCATCATGAGGCGTCATGATTATTCCTTCAACTCCCAGAGCAGAGTTTAAATGGTTTGAATTATTTTTTCTGGTTAGCATTTTTTAGCAAGTTAGTTTTTCTGCGGGATGTGGTCGCTAAACCCAAGTCCAACCCTCCTACTTTACCCGGGCTTGGGACCGGCAGTAACTCTAGAAGAGCTACAAGAACAAATACAGATGAAGGCAGCAAATGTAGCAGCAGCCTCCGCATCGATAGGTCTCCACATTCACAAAGGAAAAAGCAAGATTATCAAATACAACACGGAGAACACCAACCCAATCACACTTGATGGAGAAACTCTGGAAGAGGTGGAAACATTCACGTACCTGGGAAGCATTGTTGATAAACAAGGAGGATCGGATGCAGATGTAAAGGCGAGGATTGGTAAAGCGAAGGGCAGCATTTCTACAATTGAACAACATATGGAACTCAAAACAACTAACAACTAACTTCGAAGTGAGAATCTTCAATACGAACGTCAAGACAGTCAGTTCTACTGTACGGAGCTGAAACGTGGAGAACTACTACATCCATCGTCAAGAAGGTACAAGTATTCATAAACAGTTGTTCACGCAAAATACTCAACATTCACTGGCCGGATACTATCAGCAACAGCGTTTTATGGGAGAGGACAAACCAGCTTCCAGCTGAAGAGGAAATTAGGAAAAGACGTTGGAAGTGGATAAAACATAGGTTACGGAAATCACCAAACTGCATCACGCGGCAAGCGCTAACTTGGAATGGTGAAGGGAAGCGAAAAAGAGGAAGGTCAAAGAACACACTACGCCGAGAAATAGAAGCAGATATGAAAAGGATGAATGTTAACTGGAAAGAACTGGAAACGAAGGCTCAGGACAGAGTTGGATGGAGGATGCTGGTGAGCGGCCTATGCTCCTCGACGAGGGGTAACAACCGTAATTAAGTAAGTAATCAATAAACAGACATAGAAATCAAGCCACACTTTCTATGATATCAGGCACTGGTTTTTTCACAATGTAAATCTGTTGGGAAAAGTTAAGCGTCCCAATTACCTAGTTTTCCAACTTTATTCATTATTTATATGGTCAAAATCCTTTCACAGTTCTAATCTTCTGATTTACTCAGTCACTAACATTTTGCCTTTGTCAATTAATCATATAAGCCTGATCATCCTTTATACATGGTATGTTTATTCACTTTTTGTATTTCTTGCAAGATTTATAAAAACTAAGTCACCTTACTATGCTGGGTGGGTGTATTAGCGAACTTCAATGCTGTATATAGTCTCTGGATCTTTAATTTGGTTATCTGCCATTCAATATACTAGCATGTCTGAAATATCTGTACCCTAAATATAATCCGTATTAAAATTTCGATATACCGTTGTTCTAAATGTGTTAAATCGACGGAATACATAAGAAGTCAAGTAGGATATACATTACATTGGCGTATATATTGTCTGCTTACAAAGGAGTCAAACTTTTGCCAAAAATATGAAGTCTTGCAAAGTTTTGTAATTCAAATGTTATCATCTTGATCGTAAAACTAAATGAAAATTTACTCTTATAGTTGACTTTATTTTGTGATGTCTGGCACCATGCAACGCCTACATGAACTATTCCAGCACTCGAATAGACCAGTTATCCATCTTGGGTTACATTTTTAACTTATCAGTTGTTCGCTTATAAATTAACTGTTTTTCTTTGACCGTATATGTATCGTTTACCCTGTTTATTATTTCTTAAGCTGATTTTTATCTGGCTAAAAATAGTGAGTCACGTTTTATCGAAAGAAATCGGTACGCTTGCCTTTTCCGCTTCTTTTTGTTTACCTGCTTCTCATTTTAACGTATGTCTGCGTAAACAGTTACACGATTTAAATCAATCGAACTTAATTTTTGTTTAGTCCCTTAATACCGCCGTCACTCAAAGGGGGTTAGCCTAAGTGTGACATGAAGAAGTAGACAGAAGATCTGTATTCATATTGTTCGCCCAAACTGAAGTCAGATCCCGGACCACTAAATTGGTGAACCACCAATAATTTCTTCTCTTAAATGAACCTCAGGAATTTTGCATTCAACTCAATACTATTCATTTTTAATCATCCAAGAGTACTGACTAGTTCAGCATGTTGTTTAAGAACTTGAGGAAAAAAAGTGGCGAGACTAAACTTTATGGACGACCTTTGAACGAATCTTAAATGACCTTAAGAAATGTTAGCCAATCAGAAGACAGTTAGTATGCAGAAAAAAATATATAATACAAAACTAAAAAATTAAAGCGGATACTGTTCTTTTACATGGCTCAAAAATTTCTCAAGGTCAAATATAGGTTCAGAAGTTCTAAAATCATAGTGCATACGGTACAGGAATTCATCTATATGGCTCCATAGTAGTCGACCTCTGGAGCCATGATAAGGTCTCAAAAATTATTTTAGCCTCAACTATATAGCTTCAGTGTTTTTGGTATGGTTCAGGGTTAGGATGAGGGTTTAGGGTTAGGGTTAGGGTTAAGGTTAGGGTTTATGGTTAGGGTTAAGGTTAGGGTTTAGGGTTAGGGTTTAGGTTAGGGTTTAGGTTAGGGTTTAGGGTTAAGGTTTAGGGTTAGGGTCTTAACCTTGATCATGATCGAGCGAAAAAAGTCATTTGAGTACCACAGTTACAAGTATAGGACTTCTTAATAACCACTTGTAGACGCTGAATTATCACATCTTCTCTAAAATCCGCTGTAAACCGATCATACGTAAGCATCAGGTACCGAACTTAGCGCCGTGACCTTGAAAACTTAGAAAGCTTATGATTGGCTCGTCCATAAAGTTTAGTCCCGCCGTCGGAAAGAATGCTTTGGCTTGACTTCTTCAGTGAATTTCTCAGCTGTTAGTAATTCAAATGCCTCAAAGCTGACAACACCTATTTATAACAACAGAAGTTAAGTCACATTTTTAGCAAGACGGTAAAATTCCTCAACCACAACAAAAAAATACAAAATGCTACATATTTACTTTATCAATACTAAATAATACCTAAATAAAGTTCTTACCTTTCTAACAATACATAAATGCTAAATGGACCACAGTAAATATTTCTTTCAAACATTAAAGCATATCGTATTTTTATCTTATTATAGGCTTGTTTTATTTCATACGAAATTGAATCCCATGATTTTTGTATCAAATTATTCCAGTCATCAGATGAATCAAGCTATAGTTTTGCGAAAACAGAAAATTTCCCTGATGACAAATATAATCCATTATTGAATTACTGACTTAAACAAATGACTAACTGACTATTTATGAAAGAAGAACTTTTAGGTTGATTCACCTTGACTGAGTCCAAAGTTGGTTTCCGTCATAGATCGATACAAACTACAGAACGTCTATAAGTCAGGAAATACTGGACTGTTTTTTATTTTCATCTTAAAATGGAACTTTTGAACAATGAACAGTAATGACTCTATAATGGATTGAATTCATTACCTTCAGTTATGGCTGTGATTGTTTAACTCTCAGGCTGCTAAGTTTCCTGTTGATCACCTCTAACCACCATCTTATCTCAACATAATTCACGTAGTGTCGAGCCACCTAGACTAGTGGCCACATTGCAACTTGATCGGTAGCATTCGATCAACACTAAGAAGGACTTGACACGTATGACATTGATCACCACCCAGTGATCAATCAACTGTGATCATTAATCTAAATCTCCAAATTTAATCAATTTGGTTTAATTTATTGTAGCCAGATGAAAATACAGCAATATATATATTGTACAGTACTTTCCCAATTAACACCATACTTCCAATGCTTTTAGTATTATCTTTAAGCGTACATGATTGTTTGCTAAAAAAATAAACAAAATTACCTGATACACAGTAATTTATGTGCATAGAACAAAGACCTGTATCAAATACATTAGAATTACTATCGATACAGAAATATTAAAACATCCAGAATATGATGTATCCACTAGTCTTCAGATTGCACTAACAGTAGAGAAACTAAGCTTGTTAAGTAATATTGACGCAATAATTAATCATAAATTGATCATCTGGAAAGAGCTATTACCATACAGTAGCTCTCATCATTAGTTAAATTTCAATGATTTATGAATTCAGAGTGGACCCTAAATAAAATCAAGTTTTTATACTCCTTGACACTGATGACCAAGGTCAAAATGAAACTCCTCCGTTCGGAACGATAAGTAAAATGTATCGATCACATTTTTCAAGATTTCACCAGTAAGAGCAGATTTTGTGAAAAAAAAGAATCCAATTCTTTGCTCAACTTTAGTGAAAGTTATAATCCTTATGCAATTTTTAAGTACTTTACTCAAGGTCAAATAAAAGTATTCGTTAAGAAGTTAATCACTATTTCTAAACTGAAAAAGATGTTTTTCATTCAACTTTAAAAGGACAAGTCAACTAGACTAGATATATAATATATATCTTTATTAACAACCAATATAAATTCTAACATAGTGTCAGATTATTTAACATTTCGTTCAATTCTGAGGTCCTACAACACTACACATATTTCACCTTATTTATTCCTTAGCTAAAGACTTCTCTTCATATATAGTCTTTTATTTTTACACAGGCAATGAGTAGATGAATTATACTATAAGATAGTATGCCTTTAAAATACTCAATATCAATGCCACTTACTGCGATTGGATATTTCTCTGAATGAATATGTACGCTTTAGAAAATTTCACTCATATTTATCGAATAAACGATAAATCTGCTCATTCCTTAACGTAAAATTCAAGGGTTCTACCTTGTATGAGTTTGATAGACCGAAATATTAAAGTGTCGAAATGAGGTGTTACAGTCCTTCTTGATTTTTATTAATCATTCAGACGATATTACTTTGTGAATCAAATCCTCATCAATTATGAAACTCATGATACTTTACAAGTTTCTCGAAGACTATTTTCAATAAAACATTCAACTTATTTGAAGAATCAGAAGGGGTTTTCGTGGATATTTCAATATTTTCATAATTGAAGTCATGACTTAATCTATGCTAGACTATCAGGGAAAACCTGGAAGCACTGGACAGCCGTTTCGTCCTATTATGGGACTCCTCAGCAGTGCGCATCCACGATACCGCCTCACGATCGAGATTCGAACCCAGAACCTACCAGCTTCGCGCCGGAGCACTTAACCGGTAGACCACTGATCAGTTGAAGTTATACATTAACACCGTTGGATGCCGGCTCAGTGGTCTATCGGTTAAGTGCTCCGGCGCGAAGCTGGTAGGTCCTGGGTTTGAATCTCGCTCGTAAGGCGGTATCGTGGATGCGCACTGCTGAGGAGTCCCATAATAGGACGAAACGGCAGTCCAGTGCCTCCAGGTTATCTCTGGTTGTCTATCATAGATTGACTCATGACTTCAACTATGAAAATTATTTGAAGCTTTAATTTTATTTATTTATCATTTTGTTTAATATTTTTCCAGAAAAATAACCGCTTATGTTTACTAACATAACTTTGTTATCAGAATACACAATATATTTAACATAAATAATATACCAATAAACCTGGGCGGAATCATCCTAGTAAAATTCAGTCACTTCATACATTGATTTTTACGATGTGAGGTTGTTAACTCTACACCCAACCATCTTCATTAACTAGGTTTCGGGACAGGCAATAGCTCTTGATGAGACTACAGGTGAAGTTACTTTATACATATACTCAAACTTGGGTGGTCAAAATAGTTTGTGGATGATTTACTCATTTAGACTCTAGCTCGTAAAAAGAACTATAAACACATCAGTTTTCAAACCTGTGATCAAGATTTTGAAAACTAAACCTATGAACTGATGAACCACAGTTTTACGTGAGTACATATCAAAAAATCATTTAAATCGAGACTAAAGCATTGCTTATAAGAAGGCTAATCCATTTATAACACATAAGACTTGAGCATTGTTTTTTTTAAATGAACTACTAGTGAGTACTTTTTCATCTCATTTAGATTTCCGACTCAAGCAGGTAACTGCTAGAAGTTTAAAGATTTCTTGAAGTAAGGATGCAGGCTTAATATCCGCATGGCTTATAATTTTTGTAGAGGCCTATTGTTCTTTATTTAACTCCAATAGATTATAAAACGTTAACCGAGTATTTTAGCAGTCCAGTTTTTCTAGTAATACTATGAATTTACCAGAGAGTATTCAAAAGCCGAAACACCAGTTGTTGGAATAGTGTAATATAAATCATTAATAAAATCTGAAAGCACGCAAAAGATAAGCGGACAGAGAAGCGAATGAGCGTAAAAAGCCGAAATATCCTCATATATTTTATGAAAGTCAATCACTTGTGCGTAAGGTATTGATTATCTGTGTTAACAACCATTAACAGGATAGATAAAGACTGAGGTGAAGACTTGTGTTCAATCAAATTCATATATACTTTTTACATAGTGGGTTCATTGTCTAAATTACACGAGGTAGGTAATAAAAAATCATATGGACTTACCATGGTTGTATCTGGTATTTAATTTTGCATAAGCGATAAGAACAATAAGCACCATATTATTACTCGATAAATACAAAAGAGATTAAAATTTCAATAAAAACCTACATGTCTTTTTGTTCCTTGACTACATGTATTATCATTACTTTCTGTAACTGCACGTGGCTCCCCAAATAGCCCAGAGTTTGGTTCACCTGAAACTTTGCTTTTCAACTGAATTGGGCATACAGGCACTGGTACTAATGTATATCTCATAAAGTGTGGATCAACTCGAAACAGCGATGACTGAAAATTAAATAAAACAATAACAGTCAGTTTATCATAATTTGGCTTCTTCCTTACAAAATAATGTAGTATGTATATGTAAATGATCCAAAACAAAAACTACAAACCACAAATAGTGTGTAGTTTTTCTACTTCATAGTAAGTATTTATCAGAGCTTTTGGAAGATTATTGATTAATTCAGTAATAGTATTGGACTCAAAACGTACTTTCAACAAACTAAAGATAAAACTTCAACACACAAACTCATATGTGAACGTTTGTTCCAAATCTTTGATTTAAAATCAGATCTAAACGGAGTATCTTAAAATAAAAGTTTTTGTAATATTTTATTGTATTAATTAAGCGATTGGATTGATGAAAAGTGCAACTTAAAGAGAAGAATTTCCAGACATCATAAACAAAGTTTAACGGTCAACAGCTATACAACAAAGAACAATGTGCCGAATAACTGCAGTTTGCCAAAATTCTTCATCCACAAACTCACCCAATCTTATCAGATAAAAGACGAACTCAATACTTGTACCCAAAGGCTTTGGTAAGCACTCTAATTATTTCCCATGACTCCGCCGCTCATTTAACGTATAACTATTCAGTGATTACTATCGGGTACAAATAGAGGTAATCCATCCTTGTTCTTAGAAATACGGCAGTACGATAGCTTTGATATTCCATATTACCCTGAATAAATCTAAGTAAACTTACTGGCTAAAGCATCAGAACTACCCAAATTTCAATCAATGAGACTGCTTTAAACAGATTTTTTACATACGTTGCTTCCCATATACTCAGCGCCCGATTTTCGTTTAACTACCAGTTCAAATATCAAAGAATATCCAAATAAAAAGATTATGGTTTTTGGAGTACATTGACACGACCAATAAAGGATATTTTTGTTTTACAGATTCTGTAATTTAACAAATTTTAATGATTTTATCAGCTAAACAGGTGGAATGAGGGTGAGGTGTGTGTTACACCTCTTAAAGTTTTAATGGGAAAAGGGAAGAGCTATTTACATAATACAGAGTTTGTATATCGAGATCTTAAAAGCTAATATTCCTAAAGTATGTCTTTGGAAACAAAGAAACTGAACTGGAAGTTTTGGCGGCAAAATCTCAGACAGATGTAACAACTGACAAAGGCATATGTCTTATCCTGGACCTCCAAGATGCACCTTTGCCGAATCTAATACAGATAAAAATTAAAAAAAACTAAGAAACTACTCTCAACGCTTGGGAAAATTCACAAATAAAATTAGGTTTGTGGGATATTTATAATAATATTATATACCAGTACAGCTAGTTAATAATTTATAAACGATTCAAGACCTAAACAAGTTTTAAACTGATTCCTATTAACCCATTGAACACCAATAAAAAGAAATATACCGACGATATGAAAAGCGAAAGTTTCGAAATAATAACTTAGGTATTTTATCGGCTTTTTTCAGCATATTACAACAACTACTGGTATTAACTGCTTAATCTTAATCTACTTTGGCTGTTAGTTTCCTCAAGATCAATCAAGTAAAATAATTATTATTTAATTAACGGTAATTCAAATCTTTACAGACCAGGTAGAGGTCACAGTCTTGGTGTTATACATATGCCTTGATGACAATCTGCTACCATATATTTTCTGATAGTTTACCCCATTTGAGTTAGCCTTGCAAACGAAACATTCATTATTATCAAAAGTTGTCAGCCGAAAAGTACTTGAAATTTAATTAACAATGCCGTTAATTATAAGATATTCGACAGTCAAAACGGAAGAAAATGATGAACTAATATTTATGAGTATTTTGATTACAAGAACAAGTACGGAAAACATTCAGATTCAGGTATATCAAGGTCAATCCATACTTATGAAATCCAGGAATACAACAACTATATATTACTAACTTATGAAGTAATCTGCATACAAATGCTATTCAAACGAATGAAATGCCCTAGACACATTGAGAGATGAAGTAGCAGAGTCCAGTAAAGGTATTTCAAGTAATTGGACACGTGCAAAATTTCGTTAAAAAATTTTCATGAAACCCATCACAAAACACAAAACTGACAGAAAACGTCAGCAACAGAATAATTTTGACCTACATGCAAGCTGCCCAGAGAATAAAATCAGGTTACTGAAGCTCGTACGGATAGATATGACCCAAAAGTTTATGAAATCGCCAGTCAATATTATGCAACGAGAAATATAATAACAGAGGAAGACAAGATAAATATTACCTTCAAGATAAGTTTGCAGCAAGAAATACCTTTCCTTAAATATCTAGCAGTTTTATTATGATAAAAAAAGACCCCGAAAGTCTCCCCTAATATACAAAAGGCTCAAATTTGGTAGCACTGCAAACACATGATTAGGCAGTCACAAACAAAATAAGAGCTAGCCCAAATTAAAGCATCCCACAACGGCAGAGTAAAAGGGAAAGTTAACAAAATGAGTCTAGAGAAATGTCTTATTAACAATACTTGATGCAGTGAATAATGAATATCGAAAATAAAGTTTCAAAATAATGTGTGAGAGTGAATAGTAAGGAGTAAGAGAACAAGTGAATACCCTCATCACTAAGAATGATTTCTAGTCATTGTTATTTAAAATTCCTGGTCATAGATTTCGAGTAGCTTTTGGACCGTTGCAAGAACTTTTGCTTTAAAATCTATTAAGAACCTGAAGGTCTTAGTAACAATCATCCTTGAATACAGCACAGGAATTTACAAAAACTTTAGTAGAATCACGTTGAAAGAAATTTCCACATTTTCCATCGGTCATAAAGTGTGCTTCAGCATTTATGTTTTGTGTACACCTAACTATAAATCTTAAATTCAATACAATGTGTCAAGTATGTGCAGTGTGTTTTCGGTCTTCAGTCATGATCCAACTGTGACTATTAAAGTATGTGTTGGGGATTCCTTAGTTAACATATCAGAGTCTGTACTGCCACTACTTCCAAGTATTTTACAGGTGCAGTTTCTTAACTTGTGCCCCGTCGGGGTCGGCTTTATTTGGGGCCAGTATTATTCCTCCTGTACGTAAATGATCTCCCTCTTCTACTATCGTCATCGGTCTTACTCTATGCTGATGATGTCAAGATATGGAGAGCGATACAAAGCAAGGGCGATAGCTTAGAACTTCAAAATGACCTGGAGAGATTATCTGAATGGTCCTAAACCTGCCAACTGCCGATAAACACTTCCAAGTGTATTGTGATGCATATTGGCCACCAGGGTACAGATACATACACGATGAATAACACTGAGTTACCTATTGTTCAGGCACACAATGACTTAGGCGTCATCGTCAGTCAAGACTTAAAGACTAATGCACACTGCCGTGCAATAGCCGCCAAAGGTTTTAGGACTTTATGGTCCATGCGCAGGGCTTTTAGGCATCTTGACGCTAAAACGTTTCTGACTTTGTATACATTGTTCATACGCCCTAAACTTGAGTACTGTATACAAGCAGATAACCCCTGCCTAAAAAAAGACAGTGAACTATTGGAAAGGGTTCAGAGAACAGCAACTAGGCTGATTCCCGGAATAGCGAAGCTCCCGTATGGTACTAGACTGACCAAGCTAAACCTATTCCCGCTGTCATATAGAAGAATCAGAGGTGACTTGATTATAGTTTTTAAATTGCTTAATGACAAATTTGCACCTGATATGCCCTCATTTTTCTTGTCTTCCAAAACAGAAAACCTACGAGGATACTCCAAAAACGTTCACAAGCCCCGAACGAATTACTTGTTAGCTGACTACCGACTTTTCCATCGAATAATCAACGAATGGAAGATTGAAGACTGAAGAATAATCAACGAATGGAATTCATTACCTCGGCACGTAGTTGAGGCTCCACCCGTCGACTCCTTCAAAAGAAAGTTGGATCAGCTGAGAGACCATCATTTCCAGGACTAACACAGGCCATCAAGCCTCCTGTCCTTTCCAAACTGAAACTGAAACATCGATTGATTTTAGCAATTTGTTTAAAAAAGCCATGTCCTCACTATGTATGAACTAGTTTGTTCATTTAACTGAACAACTGATAGCGAACAGATGAGTAACCACACACACTGCAGAAGAACAATAGTTTCGGATTATGGTATATCAAGATCTGTTGAGAGCTACGAAATAACTTGAGCTATGTTTCCAGAACTTTAATCATATATATTTCTATAACACCATAAAAAGCTTCTAAAATCTTACCGCACATTGACGTTCAGTCGAGGAGCTACCTCTTATCTTACATGCAACCTCTTTTTCTTGATTGTTAATAAAAGACTTAATTTTTGAACTGATATTCCATGGAAGTTGTATTGAAGGCTCATTTTTCCCAGTCTTAAAATTACCTTCTCGTAGTAAACTTTTCTGCAGTTCACAGCCGATGGAATTTGTCATAGACGGATGGCTGCCAACCAAAACATATAGAATAAAAAGCTTTTGGTAAACTAAAGGTAAACATGATAAGTAATTTATAACTCGTTTCTCAACTTCATCTATTTGTTGAGGTGAAAGAAGCTTCCGTTTCTCACCAGGAATATCCCAATTCATACAACTATATAACCTCATTTTAGAGTAGAGAATGTCTTTTGATTTGTTTAGCTCCACAAGTTTACAAATATCGTCTCGTAACTGATTCAAATAAGGATTATCCATCAAATTAATTAATAATGCTTTGATGTCCTCCGTGCACCATGAGTCCAAGATACATTCACCAACTTTTATCAACTCAGAAAAAACGCAAGTTGCACAACTACAGCAATTGGAAAAGTCCTTATTGTTGCAAGAATTCATGAGCGCATTAACTGCAAGTAAACTTTCAAATGTACACTGCCTTCAATCGTCCAATTAATCGTGTCCAAACTTTATATTTGTTAAGTAGAATTAACGAATCTTCCACTCTTCGGGAATTATCTCATAAATATGCTTGTAGATCTTGTTGCTAACCTCTAGATACATTCCAGGATATTCTTGTTCTCTTATAGTGAGAGTTGAAACATTTCATTATCATTCAGTAAATGGGGTCGAATAAGACTTCGAAAGACTCCCATTACTAAAATTGGCAACACACATGAAAGCAGCCTGAACATATTGTTTTTTATTAGATCGTCATTACGCTTTACTCTGATTTACAGGCCGTCGCGCTTAGACTGTGTATTCACAAATGAATTCCTAGTCGACGATCTCTCAATTCTGGCTACCCTGGGGAAAAGTAACCACGCCGTCCTATCCTTCAGTTTTGTCAGTAAAACTGAGCTAAGATATCCCACAAACAACAGGCGCTGAAATTTCAAACGGTTGAATGTGTTAGCTTTACATGACTATCTACAACAGGTGGATTAGGATGTTCACCCTCAATTTGAAGTGGATGCTCATTGGGATTTCTTACTGCACACGCTCTTATTTGCTACTAAGTATTCAGTTCCTCAAACGGTCCCAAAAAGCTACAAACAACTCGAAAGCATCAAGAACCGCACTCTTCGTTTGCAAAAGGCACTGTTGGGCTGATTATAAACGAACTGACAACAACGGCTCGCACAGGCAATATAAACATATAGAGAACACATGCACAGAGGCAATAAGAGAAGATAGACTTCAGTACCAGACCGAACTTATCGATAAATTTGTCTCCAATCCGAAAACCTTATTCCGTTACGCAGCTTCTCTTGGACAAGGCAAAACTGGAATTTCCCAACTACTAGGTCCTAATGGCTCGACCAATAACGAAGGTGATGCCGCTAATCTTTTGGCTGAACATTACTCTCGGACATTTCAAGCGACCCACATCAACTACACTGATGAAAGCTCCACCTGCACCAGCACAGGACTTTCCGAAGTGGACCTGAGAGCTGACCTGGTGCTCCGTAAACTGCAACACCTAAGAAAAGATACTTCTCCCGGTTCGGATATGGTACATTCTACTATACTGAGGGAAGTAGCTTAATCCTGGAACCAACACTTAGCATGCTTTCACACTCGCTAAGCCGAGGCAAACTGCCGGAAATTTGGAAGCTGGCTCACACCACACCAATTTTCAAAGGAGATCGACGTTTTGAACCCTCAAGCTACCGACCAGTGGCCCTTCTCTCCATACCTTCTAAAATTATGGAGTCTCTAATATACGACGGTATACACGAGTACTTATTATCTTTAAAGTTCTTCTAACCCATCAGCATGGTTTCAGAGAGGGTCATTCTTGTATGACCAACCTGTTGACGGCGGTGTATAGACGGACAACTATTTTTGATCGCAAGGGGAAGGTTGACATCATTTACCTTGATTTCTCAAAAGCTTTTGATAGGGTCAACTACATATGTCTTATCAATAAGCTTAGACGATTGAGTATCAAGCCACCACTAATCGACTGACTCAGTTCATATCTAAAAAATCGACATTTTAAGGTCAGGACTAACTTCACTTTCTCTCAGGCTATGGAAAGTCCTAGTGGTGTCCTCCAGGACTCATTACTGGAACCTCACCGCTTCTTGATTTATATAGACGAGTTTCCACAACAAGTATAGTCTGACCTATTGCCTTTTGCTGATGATGTGAAACTTTGGACAGAGACACGCAACGAGGAGGATCTGTTTCGACTTCAAAGTTGGGCAGACGACAACGGACTTAGCCTCATCATTTCAAAGTGTAAAGTATTCCATCTGCGACATGTTGCAGACTATAGTTACAAATTAGGAAACTCCTCTCTAGAAGTATCCCAGGTCGAAAACGATTTAGGAGTGTTGCTACTCTACGACTTGAAGTCTTACGCTGACTGATAAAAACACCTTTCGATCAAACCTTGCACTGATAACATTGAAGAGCGTTTTTGATCGGATTGACGGAAGAACTTTCCACATAATCTTCAACAGTTTTATTCGTCCCCATTTAGAGTACAGAAACACAGTATTTCCCCTCTTCCTCCAAAAGGATAAGGACACTCTGGAACGTATCCAACGTCGAGTCACGAAATCAGTTTGGTGACTCAAATTCAAACCTTATGAAGAGTGCCTCCAATCACTTAATCTTTACCCGTTAGAGTACAGGCGTCTTAGAGGTGACCTTCTTATGACTTACAGTATTCTTAACACTTCTGGTCATCCCCTTAAACACCTACTTAAGCTTAGTCACATCACTAACCCAAGGGGTAACACCCAGAAACTGGAGACCCAACATAGCAGAACAGACTGAAGACTCAACTTCTAATCCGTAAGAGTTGTCGAATGCTGGAATTCTTTACCGACTGAGCTAGTCCAAGAGACTTCCCAGGAGTCCTTTAAGAGGAAACTTGACCTATTCTTAAGGACTAAGGATAACATATGATTTACCAATTTCTTTTTTTTTGCTATAATCGTTATTATACCTAGGTTCTTGCCTAGAGGTATTGGTGATCCACTGCTACTAGACACGGAAGCCCGCTAAGTGAAAGCTTCTTCTATTCGGTCCACGACCATTTGAACCATTTGAACTTACATGGAAATAGAAAACGAGTCAAGGTGGTTCAATAGTCGATGATCACAGTGATATAGATTGTATCACTACAGACAATATATAAAAGTGCAAAGTGGTGGTAAGAAAACAGATACAGGAACAGTGATAAAGATAATGAAGTAAAAAAAATGTTCCAGGCAATATTTTTACACAGGAAGTAAGCCAAACATGAATAAATAGACTTTAAAATAATCAAGAGACAACATCGAAATTAGGTGACTGGGATTGTGTAAATAATTAGGTGAAGAACATAGAGAGAAAGGTAATGAAAATGAAAGACGAACACGGAATGTGGACGATTATTAAAACCCTATATCTAGTCATATCTGGCTAAACAAAGGTCAGAGGAGTCAACGATTTCTTCTGAATATATTTCCTAGGTTTATGGGCTCGTATCCCTATAGCTTCTATTGTATATAGCAGACTGTATCTGACCCCATTGAAAATTCACTAATACACCTGTCTCCCCACCACCAACTTTCACTTTTACACATTGTATGTAGTGATACAATCTATGTCATTGTGATTATCAACTCTTAAACCACCTCGACTCGTTTGTTATTTCCATGTAAGGGATTAATGCCTCAGAGGATACTTATCAAAAAAATGTCATTTATTGAAATCAAAGTTTCGGAGGCCCTAGTCATAATCCTGGATGACCCCATCGGGGCATCCGGTATCCCGGTAAAACGTAGTGTTCACTCTGACCTCAAAGGTTCGACCATTGTAGGGTCACTGAATATCGAACTGATCATTGATCCCTGCCAAGGTCGAGGATAGTCAACACGCACAAACCAATCGTACGCCATGGACTGGCCCACGCGGCAGTAGTTATTCTTTCACTTCTGTACTTCTGTAGTTGTACCTTAACTAATATATTCCTGTAATAACGTCCTTTGTGTTGTACAGTCTCCATAGCATCCATTATCCTTTGATGAGTCGATGGTTTAATCCACGTAAGGGCTGGTCGCGAGTTGTGACTTCAGCGTTAGTTGGTTCGTCACCATTCTCGTCTAACTCCAGTAGGCCCCCAATCATTTCGACGATAGAACATCAACGTAGATGATCTTACACCATCTAGATAGAGCTTTATCCAGTGAATTTGTACTTAACCACCTGTGTTCATTGATAAGGCTTGCCTGTCGCATGACATCTAAAGTTTAAGACAAGACAAGGTATATTACACCCGACATCCCCTGATTTTCGAGAATAGTCGCCCATATAATCACTGGAATCACCAGATTGGAGATGTAGGACTAAGTCCTCCCAAAGCCATACTGTTAAGGTGATATGAACCTGATGACTATCAAATAGTTGGGTGAGCCATTTCAAATGTAAGGTTATGTAAATCTCGAAGATATTGAAAATGAAGTTGATTGGTGACAGTCTGAATAATTATTTCGTCCACCTCCCTTAGGATTGAAGTGATATGTGCTATCTTCTGGGCGTCTAGAACAATAAATTGGTTTAGTTATTTTTAGTATAGTAAACTAAAGGGTGAGGCCAGGATCGAGTCCAGTTCACTCAATAAAACATGAGGAAACATGTCTAAGCGAGAAAGTGTATTGCTGCTTAGATTGTGCAGTTTTTGAATTACTGGTTCAGTGCTTAAAACCACTTCCGAGATTCCAGTTTAGCAACAGAAAAAGCCTTTTTCGATATAGGTTGAAGACAACAGTTTAAACGTATGGAATTGCTATTTGTTCAGGACCTCTAGAGTAACGACACCCTTCTATAGTTAAACCATTGAGACCTTATAACTGAGAGCTCTGACCACGTTCTGTCGAAAAGAGGTGGCATGAAGTAAAACGCTTCTCAGAATGAATCAGTTCAACCAGGTTTAAAAATGTTTCAAATGGTGTTCGGCTGAATAAAACAAGCGTTCGCTTAATGGACTCTCCTATCTAGTAGCAGTGGATCACCGATGCCTCCAGACAGGAATCTAGGTATATTAACGATAAAAGAGGAAAAAGGAAAAAATGTTGGTAAATCACAGTGAGATACAGTCCCTGGTCCTTGAGAATACGTCAAGTTTTCTCTTAAAGGACTCCTGAAAAATCTCTCGCACCAGCTCATCTGGCGAAGAATTCCAGAATTTGACTACTTTTAAGGAGTAGAAGGTGTGCCTACAGTCCATTCTGCCATATTGTATCTTCAGTTTCTGTATGTTACTCTAAAATTCGCGTTAGAACTGGGCGTAAATGGGTATTTAAGGGGATGGTCAGAAGGTTTTGAGATGATGTAGGCCATTAGATCAGCTATGGGACGCCTATATTCTAGTGGGTTACGGTTCAGTGATTTGAGTTGCT